AAAATCTTAAATTCAACAGAATATTTAAATAAATAGCTTTTATAAATAAATATATATAATATATATCATAACTAAAAATACAGTTGTATAAAATTTGTGTGAGGAATATGATAAAATAATTAATACATAATAATATTGCATTTTCCTTGGTACACACACAATGTTATCAACTAACGCCAGGAGTATGAAACTTGAAGTTATTGGACTTGTTGTAAATTTAATACGTTATTTAATAGTTATTTAATACGTAATCAATGTCCAATTAACCAAGACAACCTTATTAAAAAACAAAATATTTATTCTTTTTTGGCGAGAAACAGAAAAAAATTCATGTGTCACCTACTTTTTAGTTACCTATGTTCGGTTCTAGGGTTAAAAATAATAAATTATATAAATAACCTCAAAGTCACAAGGAATACCTATATTGATATAAATTGTATTGAATATGGTTCAGTAGGTTTTGAATAAATTAGTTTTGGATAAACCAATGCGGGTAAAAAATAGTGACCAAATATCAAAATTACTAGCAAGAATTATTATATCCAATCATATAACAGTAAGTAAGTTTATTATATTATGTAATAATTTCGCGACCATTTGTATAAAAAACATCAATAATCTCTACTGAATTTCAAATTTTTCGATTTTGTTTCCGCAAAAATCTTATAAAGAATATTACAAAAAAAAAAAATAAAAATAAAATCAGTTAAATAGGTCCAACAGTTCTAAACTCTGAAGTTATGCGGTTACCAATGGACATTGGACCGCATTTCAATTTCATTATACGTCATATAATGGACGTGATAAATTTAGTAAGTAGCTGTATAAGGCACTTAATGTCGATGACTAAAATATCGATTTCCACCAAACGTCAATTCCACGAATGTTATATAATATGATACTTATATAGTTATAGTATTAATAATTATTTACCTTGCTGGTTYGAACAACGGCTCCATGAATTTGACAACGCGGCCCAACACGCGTCGCGGCCGTCAGGACCGAAGTTGTATATTATTCTGTTATTTCTATCCATCGTCGTAGGTATTCGACAAAAATTAAAGCCGTAGGTAGGTACAAAGTCTATCGTTAGTTTCTGAAAAACAAAAAATAAATAAATATTTTCACCGTGATTAGCCAGTATTTCATCGCAATGTGATTAGACGGTCTATACAAAACTAAAATATACTATAATAATAATATTGTAYTATTGCTACGACGAACGCATAGACGCAGCTTAGCTGTAGTACGATACGCAGTAGTTATTAGTTTTATTACTCGTATTAGAACAACCGTGCATTGAAATTGAAAAAATATATGGACTTGAAAAAGGAAAATGACTTTGTCAAATAAACTTGTCAACTTCGTTTGACCGAGAGATTTTTGATCGTCACTWATTACTGCATTCAAATTCGCGACTGGTGATCGAACACATGACGTATACGTTATACAAGTGAATATTATTATGAAACAGGATGTCGTTATATATATCATTGTAATATAGTTATCAGTGATAACTTATCAAGTTACAATGTTACATAAAACTTTGGCTGGAAACCTTCACGGCGACGACTACAACTCTATTAAAATAACGATCATTAGTTGAAATATCGTTATCTCACTGGCATAACGAACGCCTTACAAAYTTTTCAATACCAAAATATTATTAACATTATATTCTGGTTTATTATTATTTCTGTGTTTGTTGACACGTATCATTACCTACATTATTATGTGGAGCTTAAACCTTGTTGSATGTTCAAGCCCTTTGTGCCTTTAGTTATTAATTTATAGCTGTATAATTGTTTTCGAACGATAACAATCGCAAACTATTTAATATATAAACATCTAAGTTCTATATTATAACAATATATTTTATAAAGGCGTACAATTCCTTGTATATACAATACATGGGTCTATTGTTCAGCCGATMCAGACACCCACACGATAGTAAGAATATTTTAATACAGTTTAACTTCAATTTAATACAATGTTCTGTTAGACGAAATTTTTTACAGAAGCAAACAAAATCAGAACCAAATGAGTTACAATGAAYACGATTTTTATTATTTTTTGTTTGATGGAAGTTTCACTATAATACAATTTTTGGGGATACGCACCCATGTTTGGTGATAAGTTAACATCGTTCAAAATTGACGAAATATTTAATGGTCCGTCCTAGGCGTGCCGTTGTCGCACATCCCGGTGAAACGGAAGTTGTAGAGTTGACATATTATTATAATGATATTACCAATAATATCATGTATTTATTTTGCATTTAACCTACAACTCATGTCGGTGACAAGATGATAATAATGATTTCGTCATATTATTATAAAAGGCCATGGTGGTCACTGGTATTGCACTYGTTGTTGCCGTTGTACCGATTCGTCGTACGACGTGATCATTATAATGATCTCGTACGCGATAATAGGGCGCGCAAACAGAGTAATATGTGATATGTCAGACGCGCGTGTTATTAATAATATGGTGCGAGTCGTGGGTATAATAATACATTTAAATATTGTAAGGCTTGAGTGTTTGCGATGGGTAGGTGGTAGTATTCGACTGTATAGCGCGTCGGTATTGAATCCCTTTTAATGTAATATTATGTAGATATTTATATATTACCTTTACCCATATAATATGAATGCAAACACTTTTTAAACGAACGAATTTTTTATTCCTGAAAAAAAAAAACTCGCGATGGAGTAGGTGGTACCTCGTGAAGTTATATTCCAATAGTAATATATTATATTATTATGAATATATTTTTACCTTTAAGTATAAACCGAAATAAAAATATGTAATAACGACAGAAAACGTGTTCTTTATAATGTATAATTTTCATCGATTACAACCATGGTCGTCGGTAAACACATAAAATAAATTAATGTATATTATTGTAATAAGTAATAAACATAATTTTTTTCATACCTGTAGTGTGGTGGAATTGACGGGCCAGTTGGTGTTTTCCGTTGTCGGGTGTTGGCAATTTAAGCGTTTGCTTATTTGCAATTATATAATAAATTCGTGTTCGTATCTACCCCGGTCGACGATGGAGATATTATAATATTATTTTTAATTCAGACGAAAAAAACCCGCGGCTAACGTCTAGATGTGTACGATGCGACATAATAATATTTTAATATCGACGCTATAGAAACGCGTTTTGTGCAACAGTGRTAATTTAAATAAAGATTTTTTTCGGTAATTACAATTACAATTACATTCGTTATTATTGTATGATTTTATCGGGAGACTAAGTTTTTGAAAACTTGGCTCGTGCTACGTGGCCGTCGTAGTTATAATTATTGCGTATGAAGTCGAGACGTCTGTGCCTCTGCGGGCCGCGATAGCGTTAAGTTCGATAACACGAAACCTGTATAGGCACCGCTCAACGATAATGCGAGAGATATCGAAAACGATTGCCGTGTGTGTCGGAGAGACAGATATTATCATGATAGCGGAGGGAGAGAGAAAAACTCTGAACATAGGTACTACGCTAATAATATAATATWATATWATATTATTTTATCGATAAAATAGTACAGAATAATAATAACGACGTGTTTGCTGTTCTTTTATCTAGCCTATTCTAATACAGTATAATATTTATACATATTAATAATCAATATTATTGCTGTAATTTTTTCTCCCTCCGCTGGATTACCCTCTCCATAGTCCATACTTCACACCGATATATTATGATAGTATTATAACGCAGGTAATATATTGTATAAATGTATAATATTATATTACTTTTCTCCTACTATCATCAACTCCGCTAGCCACTCTTTCTGTTACGAGAAACACTGAACATTTATTACCTATATTTTTATCTACCAAGGTATATAAAATAAAATAAAAAAGCAATCGAAGATCTTTTTTATAGTACCTATTGCTATTGTACTATTGCGATCAATAAACGAGTAATATATATATATTTATTATTAATTAACCCACGGCAACATAGGTCATTGGGTGTTGGCAGCGTACTGTAGATTTTTGGGTTGTGTCGGTTTGTTGGTACACTTGTGTGGTTTTCGTCTTTTCGATAGAATTTTGAATTGGGTATCCGTAAGTTTCTGCCATGGCCAGATAATATTATGTGCTGGTATCAGTATTGTATTGTTGAATTTACGTTTAATTGTATATTAAATCGAATTTTAAGGGTAGGTATTATAGGAGTTATAACAGTCTCAACTCTCAAGTATTGTTTTAGAAGATTAATGTTGCGTWTGTAACGTGAGGTAAGTACCTAGTATTGGAATATTTGCGTCCGGACGCCTGATAATTTTTTTTAATAATCAATTATGATCATCAACRACAGGATTCTTATTAWACGCCTTTAATAGTGTACTTAACTATCCTCTTATTGTTAAAGTTAATTTTTATGAAATATATTTACCAAAAATGTCTTTTATAGATTTTATAAAAACTGCATTACAACATTGTATCCTATAGCTTGCTGTTCTGCAGATAAAATTTGTTTTAAATATAGTAGGTATTTATATTATAAAATTATTATGAAATATACGCGTAGATGTATAAGTAGCTATAGTACAACAAACATTAAAATAATGTTCGGTAACTTGTACCTATAAGTTAAAAAGCTTATAATAGATACCAAGTGTAATCGTTGCATCACATATCGAATTATTTCACAAACATATTTTATAGAACCCTATAAAACGAACATTAGGCAAATACTTACGATTGTATAATAATAGAGAGTTTACAAAAAAAACTTCAAAATCCATCAGAGCAGAAACGTTTGGATTTTTCACGGTGGTGAGGCAGTATATTTAATTTAATTAATTTTTCCTTCTTGTGTACGTTCATCCACCCATCAATCGAAAACAATTTATTGCTCTGRTATGTACAAGATACRCTTGAAATGCCTCCGACCAATAATGTGTATTTCAAGCTCATGTTTAATATTTATAGCTGATAATCAAACTATTCACTTTCAGTTACGAAGATAAGGCCCGTGTTTACGTGCTTGGTATTTGTTGACGTTTTTTCCTTCTAGATTTTGATTTTAAAACAAAGCATTACATGCATTTTGCATTTGTTTAAAAACGACGTTAAACACAGCTTTAGAAATGTAATTTAAGAATACTGAATAAATAATGACCACAGATCACKCGAATAACGTTTCTTTTGTAAAATCCAAATCTAGAAATAATCGACATTCACATCGATACGAGACCACAATAATTGTTTTGTTTATTGTRTTCAAGAATAAAATATTATTAAAAATAGGATTGCCTGCAGTGAGAACAAAATATGTGTGATGAATCTGCTCAAGTTGATATTATGCAGTCAAATAACGGATTAAAAATTTAAATTACACTTTATCTA